AATATTGTTGTTATTCCGGCTTATACAGGAACACACCATTCTCACAGGTACCAATGGGTCACTACATAAACTGCATACATCTTAATGGGCGATGCAGACTGGACCCCGGAAAAGCGCCTTGATGACGAGGATTAGCTATTTGGAGCAGAAATTCTCTTCCTTTAAAATGTGTTGGGTCCAGGGCAACATCGTGAATCACTACAGAATTACTTTCTGCCAGTGCTGGAATGGATGTGTCGAGTCTGTTGATCTGGAGGAGTTGCATGACGATGAAATCAGCGATATGGACAGTTTGTCTCAAAGCATCTCACGGTGAGTAGAGCTTTTACAGCAGCGTGCCTTTCATTAAGAGTGGTCAACGCAGATTTTCAGACTGCACTACAACTTAGATTCGATGAGTCTAATTCACCTGGTAGCTTGGAAGTGGTTGGGCGTGGACTTGCGCATTTAAGAAGACGACAGGCTAAGAGCAGAAACAATTTGGGGAGATATAAAGAAGTTATGAGCAAGCATCTACCGAACGGATACAGAATTCAAAAGAGGCATTCACATGCACTGCCAGAAGAGGTTTCATGGTGTATTCCATGTCAGCATGTCATCGACATTTCGGTTTACTGTCGTATGGAAATTTTGCATATTAGGTGATGGTGTGCCTAAACGGAAGGTCGCCGGTAACAGGGTTAATTGTTGATGGAGGACTGCTTGACCATGGAATATAGTGGTGATTCACACAAGGGGGGCCGACCGTTTCGTTCACAGACCATTCGGGTTCGTTTCTTGTTATGTGGGTTAGGAACTTAGTTGGTGGTGACAGTGGGTTGAATATTGATTGCTATCGCAAATAATCAACCAATGACGGGTGGTGGTCACATTACGTCTATGACAGAAACTGAATTTACAATCCACAGTCGTGCAATATTTCCATGTGCCCTCGGTGTTGAGGAAATGTCAACACCGACCTCAGTAAAGTTGTTGCTGTCAGCAGGCAGCATAGGACGGTCCAGGAAATATGCCTCAAAGATAGATGTCCAGAAAGGCGGCAACAAGCTACTTATCTTTTCGAAGCACTTTGGTGGTGTTGTTTTAAAGAGTGTGTATTCCTGACACAAAGGCGTCACAGGTGGAATAACTCTGGGAGAAACATCGGCGTTGACAGTTTAGTCACGGTCCTGTTGGATGTTGTGGATGGGCCAAGTGGTCTGTGGCGAAGACGGACTGGCTAGGCAAGTGGGATTAAAAGCAGCGGAGGGAACACGGTATAGGGATACTCAAAGGGTACTCCGTTCGATAACATCAAGGGGAATGGGCTTGTTAGGGGATCCCTAGGTGCTCTGGTTAAAGACCTTGGGGCATTTTAGAGGGATTTGCGTACTTGTACCTGCCAGTTTTATGCCATGAACATTTTCAGAGAATCGGCTCCTGATGAGTTTAGGAAGAGGTCGAAGTTTTCAGGTCGAAACTGTTGTGTGTCATCAGGCCTTCTTCCTGCATTTTATTATAGCACAACGACTACTTATTTGGTCCGACTGCATTTCGTGTGGTTGCGTGAGCGCATTCTATCTCTTTTCCTCTCTGTCGATGCTGTGGCGTTTATTTTTCGTCGGAATCCGCATAGGCCGTTTAAACTTGATTTTCTCACAAATATGATACTTGATTTTGCCGCAGATTTTATTTTTCACCGACTTGCAACATGATGTGTTAATATATTCTTTGTTTGATACCAGAATATTTTGGAACTGATCGGCGTTTTTTTCTGGTTTAGACAGTTTAATGTCTGGTGCTGTAATCTGTCTGTGTGAAATGATCATAGTGATGTCACTGCCATGCGACAACTAGTCATGGGCTTGCTGACTGACCTTTTTCTAGCGAAATTTTCTGCCTGTTTATCCTATCTAGACATTCTGATCGCTTCTCGACCTATTTCTTAATTAACACGTCTTGACTTCTAGTCTTCAAGCTTTCTCGAGAAAGTGCCAAATAATCTTCACAAAATCTTTTCTTGAATCCCAGTCTACCACCCGTCGCTAAAACAAATTTCATTATGACCGCATGTTTGCCTACCAACTCAGATTTCGTATAGTGAAACAGAATCATTGCTTGGAAAAGGTACATCCAATTTGTCGAGATCAGTTTAGCACAGACAAGTATTACAAGGTAGGGTTAAGATTCCTCAGCAGATCTGTAATAATGCGTGGCCTGTCTCTCTGTTTCGTCCTACGTAACTCTTATATTTCTTATCGGCCCGGTTGCGTTGGCAATATATCTTGTCTCTGTGTCATATTTATCTTCTAGATTGCCCTCAGACACCAAGCAGCGTGAATCGGGTGGTCTACCTCACGTCTAATCTGTTTGTAAACTCCTGGCATCTTGAGTCTTAGGTCAGCACAAATCCAGCAGAAGACAACGACCTCCAGGATTAAATGTCACAATGAACACATGAGCTACACTGAGCATTCAATCGTCTGCAGATAGTAGATGGAAAATGACAATGAAACTCCCGGCGTATTTGCTCGTTGATACCAAGTCCACTATTACACCATAGAGCATCACTGGAACAAAAAATGACTATACCTTTAAAGTTGGTATGTGGTTCGCGTTATTACAGTTGCATATGGAATGTGATAAATGCTCACGACGAAACGGATAGCGTAAGCTTGCAGAAGTTTTCACAGACACAAGAGATTATACTGCCTTTTTGAAGCCTGTTATCAATTAACCGGTTGAAAATTCATCCTAACTTCACTGGCCATGAGGCTAAAATTGATAAACGTCAGGCCTTCGGTTGAGTAGGAGTAAACTACACTTTCGATAATTCTCAAAACTACAAATGCGAGGGCGTACGCTCATCTGATAATATGAGAGGACCCAAAAACCCCTAGCTTAACCTCCGGGATGTCATGCTATGGAGATAGCTAGCGACAGAAATGGCACTGGAATGTCCTTCACCCAGAAGAACGAGTTGACCATGAAGACTGACTCACTTAAACTGGAGTTGCACACGCACAGTTCTAGCTGTTTAATCATGTAAGGAACGGGCCTCTAAGATACTTCAAAACGATTGAGTACAGGGCAACTATTCGACGTCTGAAAATAGACTGTGCTTCCATCTGAGGAAGTGGAAGGCGATGGGTCTTTCAAAGCTGAAAGACATGAGGATAAGCCATACCCTTGGGATCGTGTGCCCGCTTCAGCACCTGAAGACAAGCACATCCAGTCAAACTTCTCGGTTATCCTAGATATTCGCACTGAATTTGTAGGTGTGGGAGCTAAATTGTATGCCACCAGGAACTTTCTAACAAGGGGGTTCAAGGCACTGACCGGTAAGTTACTCTCCCCAGAACTTAAAACCCACATAGGACCAAAAGCAGGATGTTTCAGCATTCCAGACACCACTTTCTTCTGATGTGAGACTCTAACATTCTTGTGAAGGTGCAGAGAAGAACGAAAAATCGTGTTATCGATCCGGAAGGCTCACTGGGTAACTTGACCTGTTCACCTAATATCATTGAAAGCAAAAAGGCTAACTGATGACTGCTTACAAGCTGTCCATCGTATGACTCATCTCTGTGGGACGACGCTATCATTCTAAAACCGACGGTCTCCTGGACATCCTATTCGAATACCCAACCATAAGGCAGAGGCGAAGCCTGAGTATGACTGTCTGGCTCTCCGAGTATATGTGGTTTGGGACGCTTTGCTGAAAATGAGGCTATAGCGCCCTCTATCAACTTCCTCGACAAAATGTTAGAGGAACGCAATAGCACAAGAAGATTCTTCGCTAGGTGTGTTGGTAGTAACTAAATATTCTATTTACGCTGCTACGCCCTAGCATGGATATGTCTTTGTTTGCTCCCTGCCATATTATCACCATAATTACTGATGCCACTAGTTCGCATTAGTGTTCCCTCGTCTCCTTAATTTGCTGACCACTCCTAACCACACGCCAAATCCTTATCACCACCGTTAGTGAAATGCTTTAGCAACAGCTTTCAGGTTAATGTACGGACAGGAAGCTTTCCTGAATAACTCAGAAAGTGCATGAAAAGTGTTCAGACAAGTGGCCCTCACCTCCACAGCTGTATACGAGTGAAGTGAAAAGAGTTCTGTGCGCACTGAAGGTGCGCAACCGAACAAAAATGGCTGGATCTCAAAATCTAGACATAGGGATTCAAAAACTTGCAGCTTACTAGACTCTCCGTTTACTTTAAATGGCTAACACTAGTTCGCATTATGATAGCTGAACTATTTACGGCCACAAAGGCGAAATACGTTCCGCAAAAAATACTTCCTACCTTCCAGTGGCTACTGAACTCGATCACAATGAATTACAACCTTGAAACTGTAAATTGGTGATGCTACCATCACTGTATTACGCCTACTGAGTTTTCTGCTGGCCTGAATGTTGAGGTTTTCTTTTTCTTCCAAACACAAAGCAATACAAGACCCTAGAATGATGTATGATCATCATTACCAATCCTGTTTCTGGTGGGTCGAGATTGAGTGGATATTTTCTGAACGGACCGTAAAATGTAATGTCTCTTCTTTACCTAATGCTTCGTCGTTTAAAATGGGAACTAACCTTATGATTTGTCCTCCATCCATCGCAGCACTCCTTTGGAATAAAGATCTCCTCTAGAGGTGGAAACAGCAACGAAAAGTTTGAAGAACGAACACAGCACGACTAGCTCAAGACAAAAGCACAAAAATGACATGACAGTTAATTAGAATAATTCAGTTAACCCGCAATAATGGTTAGAACATTGAGACAGCTGGAAAACAACAACGTGAAACATCATAGAATTCAATTAAAAAGACGAAGTGTGAAAAAATATAACACTACCAGTTTCCGACAATCTAGACCCTCACCACGGCAATGTTAATACCAGGAAACCATTAAAAATTCGAAGCGCAACCAAACCAAATGTACGAATGAATAGCAAATAATACAAACTGGTTCTGCCAGAGAACAGTTAAATCCACTACTATATCAGATTTCTTTTGAGAACTTAAAGGCGCGTATTTTAAGTAGTTTTCCTTACAGGCGCTTCGTCCAGTTGTCATGACTACCAGCGCCTGGGTTGATAAAGTCAAAGCTGCCAAGGCAACTTTGCTGATTCAAGATGGTTAGTAATGGCTTCTTTATATGGTTCACAGGAATATGGGAAACATGGAATACTCACTGGTAGCTCGAGTTAACGGATTTTGAGTCGTTCAAGAGACATTCATACCTGTGGCGGCTTTCATTCAAATAACACATGTCCATTGCAGTAAATTGAAATGTCGTGCCAATAGTGAGCAACCCACTGAGTTTCCTTTGACTTAACACTGTACTGTCAGGCCAATATACATTTAACTTATGCTGTTTAAGTCCATAGGCTTTTGGGTATTTCGGGGAAAGGTTTGGGCAGACGTTCCAAAGTACTTTGGGACTTTTGGAATTTTTGGGACAAACTTTGGGCGCAGTCTGACAAATCCAAAGGTTTTTGGAAAATGTTTTGACAATTTTGGGTGCGACGATGCCTATTTGGCAGCAATCCCAAGTTTCTTAGTGTCGTTATTAGCCCAAAAATGTCAGTGCGCCCAAAGTGTTTGCCGGCTGGGTACATCTGCCAAAATGAGAGCAAATGAATTTTTTCTGGTAGTTTTGCATCGGCGATAGAAAGACGACATACTACATGGGTTTTTACTGTTTTGTGACGGTATCTTTTCATAAGTGAACCTGGAAAAACTACTCCTAGCTTCTTGAATCTGTAGTCTTCTTTATCGTGGCTGCAGTCTCTAGTACAACTGTAGTCATAATCTTTTGAACTACAGTTGATAACTTTCAAAGATAATATATTGTAATGTAGGGATATCAACCGATACCGCACTATTTCAGGTTTAAATATCATGGCATGATTTTTTTGGTTGTCATATACAGTGTCTTAATTGACATGTGGCTCAGAACTATATCAATCATCATTCATTTCATCTTAACTTTTAGAAAGACGAAAAATCCATTTCCAGTTTCCTGATGGATTAGAAATGGTTGAGGAGTATGACTTGTCCACTCATAACCTGCTGAGTAAACGTCATTATATTTTATTATTTGGACTTAACAAGGTCGCAAATTGAAAAAGAAAAGCATTTTAGGTGGTGATGGAGTTTGGGAGTGTGAAGTTGGTGAACCAATAATAACAAGGAATCAGTTTTTGGAACCTATAATTGAGTCATCTCAAACTGTATTTTGGAATTTTCATTATTTGAATTACGAAAGCCATTATTTAGTCGTATCGATACTTCTAATGCATTTCAATGGCGAGTACGTAATTTACCTTATCCATTGGAAGTGTATAAAGTTACAATTGAAGATGAAAGTATCGTTTTGCAGACGACCAATAAAAAGTAAAAGTTTGTTTCTCTAATTTTCTTAATTTATTTATTTAGATATTACAAAAAGTTTGTTATCCCGGATATGATACGACAGGGTTTGTCTTTAAATGAAAAATCTATTACACTAAGTCACGCAAACAATACACTTTTGATATCGGTTTGTAATGAAGTTATTATAATTAAATTTCTCATTCTAGTACAAGAAGCCAAACGAGGTCTTGGAGAATGAAAAGTCAATTAAGCAGTATCTACGTTCATTGAAACCAATAGAGAAAGAGGAAGATTGCAAGATATCCTGATCAGTAGTTGTACTTTGTTTCGGAAACACAGTCATCGCATTTGTTACTTCACTTCCTGAAAAAAGGGTGATGTATAAGCCATCCGAGTTATTTTCATTAGTTGGAGAGTGTTTAAGTCTTTGTATAAATATTTATTGTCACATTTCCAGACATCAGAATAAAAGTGAGTGGGTCGAGTGTAATTAATAAACTATGTTCATGATATCAAGGCTTATTTTACCCAAATGCACTCCAACATTTGACAAGATGTTGCTATTTTGTGCATTAGACAGACAGACAGACAGACAGACAAAATCAACATAGAACCTCTCACACAAGTGCCTTGGTTCAAGTTGCCCCACTTCACAGTAGTATACAAAAAAAGAGTGCGTAGAAGAAGACTGATCTCAAAGTAGACGAAGTTGTGTTAACGAATAACGAATCTGGAGAAAACGATGAGTGCAAATATTCAAGTTTTGGAAGACGTCAACGAGTAAATACATCTGTGCCATTCTGACTGACTTTCAGTCACGTCACTAAAAGTTCTTAACAACTAATTCCTATCGTCTCATGGACCCCAACCAGGTAGTTTCTATCTCGCAACACTACAGAGACTAACAGTGAGAAATTTCACCTACTGTTCTCAGTTCTTGGTCTGGCCACCCTGAAGCTTTTTCCAACCTAATCCAGCGTCCCTTACTATGGAACGTTGAGGAAAGCGGTGACTCGGCATGCGCAGCACATACCGTCTCAGTCGACTAGGGCTCACAAGCTCATCAGTCGACTTTCATATCTTGCCAAGTACCCTTTACCTGATCTCAACACCGCTCACACGGTGATTCCACCAAACGCGAGTAATGTTACGAAGATACCTGTGATCAAAACCCTGTAACCACTTCATGTCTTCTACCTTTGACAGCCATATAACAGGACAGAATGGAATGCAGCACAGTATGCTCGTTTTTTGATAGATAGTCGGATATCTCGTTAGTTGTTGTCATAGGTAACACAAGTTGGTAAAGACCAAACGGGCCTTCCGTATCCGAGCTGATATTTTGCCAGAAACCAGCCTGCTCAGGTTGACTTAACTCCGCAAGCAAGTAAAGTGGTCAACACATTTCACAACTTCATTCCCTATCAACAGACTTGGAGTACGTACAGCAGTCCTGGAGCGTCATCTTACATTTGACAGGTGCGAGACGCATACCAGCCAAACACACAGTGCTCAATGCGTTGGCAGGACACCGCATTTTGTCAGCGTCTTCACACAGCTGAACAATATTGTCTGCATACTGCAAGTCAACCAGATGACCTTCAGGGAGTAGTTCACCCCCTGTGAAGTCAGATTTACCTAAGGTTGTGTCCATCAGTACATCTTTGGTGAAGTTAAATAGGAATGATGTCAATGGATATCTCTGACGGACACCAGTAGTTGTCGTCAATCCACATAACGACTCTCCTTGGGTTCTTAAAGAGCTGCATGAGTTTGACCGGGAAACTTTGTTAAGCACTACATTCTGGCTTGGTCCTTCCTTCATAGTCAGATACTGCCACAACACCTCAATGTTGAGAGTCAAATACCGTCTTCAAGTCAAGAAACGTGATAAGTGTCGGCTGCTAGTAGGTACGCCTGTGTTCCGGAACATGTCGGAGGGTAAAAGTATGATCGATAACCCTCATCCAGGTCTGGGATCTGTCTGGTTTCCTCGAGCTCCTATTGGGGGTTGGATAACTATGGACCCTACTATCTTGGAAACAATATTAGTCACGCTAATTCCCCTAAGAATATCACAAAAACATAGAGTAGGGTTGTCAGTGATATAAAACAGTTTGGCGGCAATATTTCTAATCCCCATACACCTAGTACCTGCGTTACTCTACTCGGCCATTTCCTACCCCCCATCCCTGTAAACTTCGTGTGCAAAAATATCAGTTCTCGCTACTTGCATCGCTTCAGGTTCAGTACAACCTCAAGTTCGAGGAGATTTGGAGAACATTGAGTAGCAGAAACCGCTGAAATGTGGACTGAAACAAAAGCTAGGAACAAAGTCACCATCATCTATCAACATTGGACCAGGCATTACTGCGTAACGGTCCCACTTGCGATAGCTCATATCTGTACATCAAGTAAAGAGTCAGTGAAGTGGAAGATGAAGAAAAGAAAATTCAGTCGAAAGAAAAATGAAGTACTAAGAGAGAGAGGGAAGAATCAGAAAATGGTGAGATTCATTATAGCATTAAGATGAGGATAATGTGTGTATGCGTCTGCGCCGCTGACATCGGTTCCCACTCATATCACCCAGTCAGTCTCCAAACACTGGTTCCTCTTGTCCCGACAACCCCAACCACCTAGTCTGCGTCGCCCCCCTACATGCCTCAAACCAACCGTCAGACACTTCATACATTGATCCCATGTTTCAGTCTGGCCACCTCGGGTCATTTTCCAGCCTCAACCTGCTTCAGCCAATGTGTGACGTCGCAATCCGAGACCAGGCATACGTAACACATGTCCCTGCCAGCCACCTCAGTAGATGAACGTTAACCCCATCAACTGTCTCACCTCTTCTCCCTAAAACTCTACACCTGACGTCTGCGTTACTCACGTGATGACACCACGGAATACGGCTTATACTACGAAGGCAATAATAGTTACATACCTGAAGCCTTCTCATGTTCTCCACCTTCGGCTGCCATGTTTCACTGCCATACAGTAGAACAGAGTGGACTACTGTGCAGTACACGCGACTCTTAATAAACAGTCGGATATCATGGAGGTGGCGCCACAGGTGACGTAAGTTGGCAAAAGCCAACCGAGTCTTTTGTATTCGTGTAGAGATTTCGTCGATCACTTAACCATGAGAGCTGATTCGATTTCTCAGGTAGTTGGAGTGTTCAACGCACTCAACCACTTCACTCTCTTTTGTTAGCCGAGGCACCTTTGAAGACCAGTCCTGAGGCAACAGTTTGCATTTGGGTGGTGAGAAACGCATCCCAAACATTCTCAAATCGCCACTCAGAAGACTGTGCATCTTGTCAGCGTCTTCACTTATCAGGACTATGCCATCTGTGTATTCTAGGTCTGACGGGAATTCTGCCGTTAGATGAACGTCTGTGTAGTCAGGTGATGAGAGGGAGACCTCCATAAGAATATCTATGATAAAATTGAATAAGAATGGAGACAGTGGGCAGCCTTGAACACCACTCGACAAGCACAGCTCCTGGAATACCTCACGATAGGCTGTAATACGCCGACAAGTGTTCAAGCAGAGAGCTTTCGATAAAGTGATGTACTTACTCGGTACGCCTTTCAGTGAGAGACAATGCCATAAGACTTCTCGATCGACGCAGTCGAATGCGGCCTTCAGATCGAGAGAGACAGCTACTGTCGGGTGTCGGTAAGCGTGCCTATGTTCCAAAGCCTGGCTCAGTGTGAATATTTGGTCGATACATCCGCAGCCGGGTCTAAAGCCTGCCTGGTTTTCTCGAGCTTGTTGTTCCCGAGCTCTACTCAGGCTTCGAAGAGTTATGGAACCTAGAATCTTGGGCACTATTCGTCAGCCTGATTCCTCTATGGTTATCACTAGAGAACTTCTCGCCTTTGTTGAAGACTGAAATAGTCAGTGATTTATACCAGTCAGAGGGGATCGTATTCGATTCCCATAAACTGGTTAACACTTCCGTTAAGCTGACTAGGAGCGCCTTACCAAACAAAGTAGGCTAGGCAGCAGTCATAGATAACACTGAGCAGTTACTTGGATACATGAATGTGTTTGGGTTGGTAGAATGATGGCAGAAAAAGTTATATCAGTAATCTCACATTAACGGTGAGTAGACGACTGACTTGCTCCAGTCTACTTCCAATTGGAACCTGAATGGGATATCGACACTTCACCCCAGAACCTTGTAAAGTTCTAAAGATCTTGGGTAACCTGAAGTGAAGAGATGCATCAAGTTCCCATGGAATAGAACTACAAGTATCTAGGCATGGTTATCCGCATTAACTGGTTAGGGTGAATTATTATCTAGGTTATAGCACATAGGAAGGAATCGAGATGATTGTAATTATTTAGTGGTAATCTTTGCCGACAAATAGGAATAATTTTTAGACATTCTATTGTCTGATAGTTAACATTACTTTTAGCGCTAGGAAATCAACTTATCTCTTAAAATATATGTTGAGTCTGCATCATTAGTGTAACAAGTCTATTTATGGTATGAAAAAAGATTGTTTAAAATTATCTCAGTAGTTATTTTCATCACTGTTGTAGGAGATACTTTATATATCGTGTATTCTTAGTCTTAATGTTGATTTAGCTAGTAACCGACAAACTCTTTGACGTTCTTTATCTCGATTGTTAGTAGTAAGGACTATAAAACAAGTTGGTGTGATTTTTAGTCATATCACAACGGTAGTGCTTCAGTTCATAAAAGTTAAGTCAATATCACAATAGGATCAGGAATTACTGCATAACACCTCATATCAGTGCAACAAGTGACACAGAAAGACTAATCGGTTAAAGGCAGTAGGATTCAGTAAAAGAGAAGGATGAGAGAATGCTGAATTCAGCATAGTGGTTAAGATGAAGATAGTGTCATCTAGAGTTTCCAACTACTGGTTTATGTTGTTCTACAGTCCTTAAACTGACGAGTTAGTCTTCCAGAATTAGCTATGTTGCATTGTGTCTGGCGTTAAAAATAAAAGTTTAAAAGCACATTTCTGATATTCTACTACTGAATTCATGTAGTCACATTTTTCTTCTCTCTTTTCATATTTCTCATGTTGAAATGTTATATAAATTGAAGTAATGCCTGAGAAAAGACTAAAGTTCTCAAGAAAGTTTAATAAATAGCAGTTAATCAAGAATCACAGTACAGTGTACTAGTTTGACTTGAAGATTCCATCAAGTATTGTGGTCATGAGGAACCAGAAAATATTATAGCTACTTTGTACACACACTTATAGTATTATTGAATTGTCAATATATGCATTTTATTACGACTCCTATCCAACAGTGTGGCTTCAAAAACGTCTGTTAACCTTTTACTGTTTATTACAATCAGTATTTCTGCATGAAATCTGATCTTATCCCAAGGATAAAACCTATTTTATGTCTTTAGGGTTTCCATAGCGTTTTGTGTTAAAAACATTCAAATTCTTATAATAAATATAGTAGCCACTAATCAGCTAGATGGAGTTATATACGACACTATCCTACTTTACGGCTGTGAGATATTCTTTAAAAGTATAAGGTATGAAAAGTTTACACATTTTTGATTATAGGTTAGTTTACATGTTGTCAAAGCACTCCATTGGTAATGTTGAGGTTATTATGTAAAGGCAAGTCAGTCATTTGTAAGGGCTTGAGGCAGTTTAAAGGTGTATTACATCTAACAAGCTAATGTTTATCTCCACGTACTGTAACCATCGGATTAAGATTAATTTAGAAGAAAGGTAAGGATGGCTAAATTAGGATACGACATCAATCCAAGAAGTCTCTGACTGTTGTTCTGAGTTTTACGTTGAGATGTAGACCATCGTCAAGGTTGAAAAAATCAGTTAGTGGGTGAAATGGCGCATACATATTCAAGTTTTGAACGTATTGCTCCTCTCACTCTCTTCCACATACCTTTATATCATTCACTTCCCCTCATGTGTTGCTATAAAGTATGATAGCACGAACTGGTGCATTTTTGTTCAACGTTATTATTATTTATCCCTTGGGTTCCTAGTGAAACATAGGGCTTCAGTAGCACATCTCCATTCCACTCTGTTCTCTCCAATCTTTCCAACCTGGCTCCACCACTGCCCACAAGCTCTCATTTCTTCCTCACACCATCTCCTTCATGTCACCCTCACCTCGGACGCCCAACTCGCCGCTTCCCATCTGGGTTCCACTCGAGTTCCTGGCCTGGCAGGTGATGTCCCCAAATGGTCTTCTCAGTGCATGCCCAATACAGTCCATTTCCGCTTCCTTCTGCATATTTGTTGAGCGATAGGTTCAACGTTTTTACGTTAGTTTAATGGCTATCCAACTACAGTGCATATTCCACTACTTCGGTTCACTACTAGTAAACCACTGCAGGTTGATACACAAGTTCAGTTGATCATTGCAAACAAGACTACCAATGCAACTAAATATATGAGATTTATAGATTAAACGGCTCATATTAACATTTCCCACAACTGAGCGGCTTTTTTTCAACTCCTCATTTGTGTTGTCAATCGTACATCCATTATCTATCACAAAGTATGATCTCCAGCACACAAAAGTGCTGAACAACTTAAGCAGTAAGAAACCACTCATGCTAATCTGTAGATTCCACCAGTCAGGTTAAAGTGGTATAGAAACACTGAATGGCGTTTTTGATGGTGTCGAGGCTGAGCTAATCAGCGATGCATCAATACGGAAAGCCTAACTTTAAAAAAACCTTTGAACAATGTACATATCAAAGGAATAATGAAACAGGCTTTTCATATCTTGTTAAGATCGAAATATTCTATTTCCCCAAAACCTCATAAACGAGCGAAGCAGCCATTAAATGTTTAGATCACTCTAATCTGACTGGTGAAATTTGCAAATCAACCGGATTGACTTCTAAATCACTCAGCCTGTTCCGTAGTGTATCTTAGCTAAATATACTTGAAACAACTAGTTTGTTCAATTAACCAGTATAGAGACATAGTGTAAATGGTTTGCTTCAGAAAGATGATCATTGTGAAAAAATGTAATGTTGTTTTATTTAAGGATAACGAAAAAAAAAGTGTTTTTGGATATATATATCTATATAGAGAGTCTATGTAGAGAGATCCGCGTACATCCATGATATTGCAGTATTGTTTCTATAATTAACACTACACACATATTCAATTTCTCAATAAGCGTTTTTCAAGTGTATTGAAGATGACCAGTCTCACATGAACAAATTATATTATGTAAAATGTCAAGTGATCGACTGACTGATATTCATTAAGCGTTAAAATATCACTCAAAAAGACAGAAAATAAAATTCGTAATAGGAAGAAATAAACAAAAAGCAAAATAACAAACAAACAAAAAAAAAAGGGAAATTGATAGTTTAACCATTAAGTATGTATATCTTTTGTATACATACAAAATTATTTATTGTTCACTAGGCATGATTGAAATAGTTGTAGAGAACTTCTGTGAGTGAATACATGCGAGCATATTTTCGATAATTCTACAAACACTGTTAAACCTATATAATTGATTGATTGAATGAGATAAGTTATATAAGAAATTCATTAAAAAGCACAGAATAAGAACTATGAGGGGGGGGGGAGGGGGTTAGCAGCAAATAGTGATAATGTTGTCACAAAAGAAAAATGCCAAAATTCCACTTGAAAGATCGATCAACCTTTTTTTTCTCTCTCTCTCTTCTTTCTAAACAAACATGCAAACAAAGTATCCATTTGATGATCATATATTGTAGACAAAGAATTTCATTAATCCAGAATATAACCATCACATCACATACATTATTCATGTTATACACATTCTCTTAACTGACTAACAACGGAATGATGAATTACACAAGTGTATAGCACCAAAATGATTATATAAATAAGAAAAGTGATGAAGTTCAACGCCTTGAATTATTCACTCCAAAATGGCTAGAATTCTGTGAAATCACAGTAAATGGAGTATTATTGTTCAGTGTAGAGTTGACTTTTGTATCAACATTTGACGATGTTGATGAATCACCTGTATTAGATACTTTAAGCTGTTCAAGTCTCTTCCATAATTCTTCACGTTCTTTTTCACGTTTACGTTCCCTAGGTAAAAGTGAAAGGAAATTAAAGTGTAATCAACAGAAATTCTATACGATTCAATGTCATCAATGAAATACTTGTATAAATGAATTAGTAAAAACTTTGTCATCACTAAAGTGTTAACGCTTATCCTTAAAGCTGTTGAAATCCTCGGATACGATTTCCGATCGGTGCTCAGGCTTGCATATTGACACACCGACTTATGCTATTGGAACGCTTGTTCCTTCGAGAAGAAAATCGGTTGGATAGTGGATCGACAAAAAGCAAACACCATTATAGCGTAAATAGCTACGCTATGATAGGGGTACGAGGGTGAAGTTGTACTACTGCTAGCTAGATGGGGTGTGACAGCAGAGAGGTGTCTCCCACGGATGATCAGAAGTGCAAAGCTCATGCCGCTTTCAGAAAGGTCGGCCCAAAAAATAACCTACTCCTTCCTACCTCCACAGTCTTTCGGTGTCCGTAATTGGGGGTTTTCTCTATCCGGCGTTAAAAAAATAACCAAATCTCAAAACAACAATCTACGAAAGACTATGTATTACAGTCCTCAACCACACGTTCCATGGGCTCTGAGGTCAGTCAAATCTTTTTCTCTTTCAGGTAACTCAAGAAGAACTAATCATCCACAAAGTGTCGACCACCCAGACGCTTCCATTTGTACACAAGAACCAATGAAACATAACCTCATACGATTAATTGGAGATATATAATCTTGTTATACTGGACGAACGATGCGACACTTGACAACTTGGCTCAGCCGACACAAGAAGAAGACAAATGTTGAACTAAAGCGAGTTTACTACAATCGAAGTATGATGGTGCACCCCTCCAGGGAGACAACTCACGCTTATATGTATAGAATGCATGCACCCTTGAGGCGAACAGACAAAATAGCATGTTAAGAGTTGCAGGTTAAATAACAACGAAACAGCGTTCTTCGGAGCGGCAAAATTGAACGATACACGTGGGCAGAAAAGGCGCGAAAAGATAATTTAAATGTTCAGTAAAATGTATTTATAAGATTTAAACATAAAACGCTCATCTCTAAAAATGATATGATTAAAAATGGAGTTTTCTTCACAAAATCACATATAAAGTCTAGTACTACTGATAATATTCGGTCCCATTATGCTTCAATAGATACCGACACGCTGTTACTGAAAGAAGTAACCATGATTAGGAACCACATAAATATCACCTCCTGTCACTAGGACTTAAGCAAAGGAGCAAATCAAGTAAGTGGATAACAAAATTTTTATAGCTGCAAAACGTCGTACGATGTTTTAACTATTAACATACTTGAACAGTTCTGTGGGTGTTATAACACCATGCTGAGTCTATATGTATTGATACTGGGCGAAGAATGAAGTTGAAAATCAGAATTTGGGCTGCGGTAGGATTCGATCCAGCGACCTCCTGATTACTGCTCAGTACTCTACTCTACCAACTGACCTATGAAATCGGGGTTTTTATCTCACCTTCAATCATTATTATATGTCACTTGGGTTCCTAATGGAACATAGGATTCAGTAGCACATCTCCAATGCCCTCTGTTCTCTCCAATCTTTTCAACCTGGCTCCACGACAGCCTACAAGCTCTCATTTCCTCCTCGCACGATCTCCTCCATGTCACCCTCACCTCGGACGCCCAACTCGTCGCTTCCCATTGGGTTCCACTCGACGGCCTGGCGCATGATGTCCCCAATCGACCTTCTCAGTGTATGCCCAATCCATCTTCACTTCCTTCCAGTGCATACTTGTTGAGTGATAGGTTCTTGGTTGGTTCGTCTCCACAGTTCCTTGTTGCTTATTCTAATTATTCTGGCTATGTGAGCTTCAGTAACGAGTCAGCGTAGGCAGTCGTTGATGAATTTCTGTAGTTTGTTGGAAATACCTTTCGTAACGCGCCAAGTCTCTGAACCACGACACAGAAGCACTGACTTGACGTTGGTGTTGAGATCCGGATCTTGTTCACGCGTTATGCTGAGTGCAGAAGATCTCCACACTGGTTTCAAGCTAATGAACGCCTGTCTTGCTTTTCCGATTCTGACTTTGACATCCTCGTCTGTGCCACCTGTAGTTGAAACAGTGCTGCCTAGATAGGTGAGGGAGGCTACTTCCTTTAGGTTTCTCCCGTTCATGGTGATTGGAATCTGTTGTTGTTGTTGGTTGGCTATCTTCATCACCTCTGTCTTCTCTACGTTCACTTGAAGTCCCGTATTCGCTGCCTCTTCTGTCAACTTGTTAGTTTTCGCCTGTAGATCTTCAAGTTTATGTGACATCAGGCACAAGTCATCGGCGAAATCCAAGTCTTCTAGGTTCTTTTCCGCAGTCCAGCAACGTATCCCCCTCTCCTCGCTCCCTACTGTTTGCTGCATGATCCAGTCCACCACAATCAGGAATATCATGGGTGATGGTAGGCGCAGCCTTGTTTCACTCCTGTCTTCACTTCAAAAGCATCACTGAGCTTCCCATTGTGAACTACTTGGCATGTGGTGTCTTCATACAGTTGTTGAATGAGGCTGATAAAGGTTTGCGGTATTCCATAGTATTGAAACCTTCATTAATTACTCAAGTATATTCTTTTTATCTATCTATTATTTGTATACGAGTGTTTTGTAACTCATCGGCATTGTAGAGGTGCACTAGAAAACCTGCATTTAACTACACAATTCAAACTAACGATCCCAAACTTTAAGAACTGGTGCCACACATCTTGATGCCACCATGCTTAGCTCAAATTTAAACACTATCCCACTTCGGTTAACACATGGCGCTATCATGCAGGTCATTTCATCAACATCATCAAAGGTCAACTCAAGCTGACAAATATGTAAGCTAGTGTCATGCGCAAAAAAGTAGCCTGCATTCGAAATCAAGAAAGGAATGGACATGTACTTGATACACTAAAAATCAAGAACAAAATCGCATGTTTCTAGGTTCCAGTTAGGCGATTATATAACCTGGAATCTCAGAAATTACTCTGACCAAAGAAATACATCTTTTGTTACATAGGGGATTTTTGTCTTTTTTTGGGGGGGGGAGAGACTAGGACCATCATGAACTGAAACACTACCGTTGTGACATCGTTGAAAACCATGCCGACTCATTCTATTTTCCAGCTACCATAAATTAAAATAATGTAATAAGAAGGCGGAGGTTTATTTGAGAAATATGATGTATTTGTGCAATACATTTCGAACATTCTGGTCACACACACACTTATCAGAGTATTTTGTATGAAAGGTGAAAAAATATGGTGGGGTAGGGCAAAAAATACAAGATTTGGAAAACAAAATAAGGATAAACTTCCCTTGTTAATCTTTGTCTCATAATAGAATGATCACTTCCTGCATTATTTAAAAATCTCATGGTCCACCTTGACATTTATTACACAGTTGAGTAGTTTATCAACTACTCAACTGTGGTGTCAATAGGATTTCTGCTGGAAATCACCTAGCCGACAAAAAAATGTGATCTCAGCAAAGGAAGTGTCATAAGCTAGCGAAATATACTACTACTGAACTACTTAAGTAGTTAGGAACCACTCAAGCTAATCTATAGTATTGCACCAGCTCATGAATAGTGTATCCGGACAACTTCAAACTCACAGAGTTAAAATCCTTTAGATCACATGAACTTGGCTACCTAAATAATATGGACTGATATACCAATCTCTTACTGAAAGCGAAACGCTCAGATATTCTTGTAGCGGGCGACTGCAATGCACAAGTAGGAAGTGCTAGTCAGGTGCAAAGGAATCAAAGCTGACAGAGACTATGTGCTACAACTGTGCTCAAACAACCGTCTATTTCAGGTCAGTATAGGTCTTACACAACCTCAACTTGACGGTAAGCAAAGATAAATCATATCACTACCAATTACCACTGTAGAGGATCAACAGAAGGTTGTAACTCCTTTTGAAACACATACCTGGACAGCAATCACACATACGTCTACCTAAATACATGTAGGAAGACCGTGGTCAAGGAATATCGATGAAGATGATACTGAACACTTTTTATCCCGGAGAACAATCTAGACAGTTATCATAAGAAGTAAACTTTACTTATCCAAAAAAGGGTGGTGCTATTCAGTGTCCTTGAAAAAGAAAGAATTAACGACTGTGGCTCAGCATGCGCAGTGCATGTCCAAACTATGTCAGTCGACTAAGTCTCACAGCCTCATCAATCGACTTGCCTATCTTGTTTAGCACTCCTCGCCTGACCTCAACATTCCTCACACGATGATTCCACCTAATGCGAGCAATGCTACGAAGACATTTATGATCGAAAGCCTTTAGACGCCTCATGTCTTCTACCTAGAACGGCCATACGTCACAGCCATACAACAGGAAAAAACGAACTGCAGCTCAGTATGCTTGACCTTTGATATCACTTCTTTTCTATCCACCTATTCTCTATATACTACAAACATCTGTTTCTGGTCAGAAAAAACATTTACACCTAAAGAGGCAATTTATGACCTCAGCTCGATGGTTAACAACAACGACAAATCGTATCACTATCGCTTATCGCTGTAGAGTCAACAGAAGATTTCAACTCCTTCTGAAGCACCCAGTTGAACAGCGACCACGCACAAGTTTTCGCCACATAAATGTAAGACCGTTGTCAGCTCAGCTGCATGATGACGAACCGAGTGTTTCTTGTGTAAGGAAACTGTCTAGACAGTCATCAGAACAAGTCAACATCACTTATCCTGAAGAAACTTAGCATCATCCTTAGTCTGCTGTCAAAACAGAGTTAAAGACTGTAACTGACCCTTAGAAAAAGCTAAATCGGTCAACGAATTTCAGCACCTTCTCTCTCTAAATTATTGAATGTACTGCAGTGTAGTTCTGAAGGCTCTAAGCATCATCAGTATAATTGGCTCAAATGTAGACTGACAAAGAGTCTGCACGATGACAATGAGCAGTCACTGACAGCTAAATTTAGAGAGGTAGAAAAGACAGTGGCGACAGATAACAATAAACAATTGTTTGA